GACTTATGAACTCTGGATTCCTTTGTTCCATTTTTTTTTTTTTTTTCCTGGTGCAAGCCTTTTCCCATAGCATACCTGAGAGCAGTCAGTCTCAGTTTGAACCTGGCTTTTCCCCTTCAGTCAGTGTGTAAAGGCGTGAGTGCTCACAGACAGCCATTGGGGAAGCCTGGAATGTTAATCACACAGGGCTTTCTCCTCTGTGAAGGAAATGAATACCTGTTTTTCACTCCAAAGGCCAGGAGTGGACATTGTTAATTTTCCGGGTGAGCTTTGCTAACTGTAGAGCCAGGCCTCGCCTACATCCCAGAGTGTTTATCCCACCCTCTCTCCCCCTACACCTTTATTTTTAGCTTGGTGTCTCAGTCAGTAGAGCCCATCCTTAGGGCAGAGGTTACATGTACTTTATAGCCTGCTGATCTCTGCTCTCTCCCAGTCAGAGACCCCATCAGCTCTTAATCCCTTAAGCTGTAGAAGCCATCTTCATGGTAGAGGTCACATGTGCTTTTCAAAAGATGTTCCATGTAGTCAGGCTTTATTGTGCACATGGGATTGAGATAATCATTACCAGGAAACTCTTTTTTTTCCAAAATCATACTGTACTTAATATGTCTGAAATACGCTGGCCTGGTGTCAGACTCCAGAAATTTGAACCAGGACTAAGTTAAGTTTTCCCTCTTATCTCAGGCAGATCCTTTTCCAACCGACGGTGACACTTCCAGGGATCCCCACAACAGTGGATTCAGCCCTTAATGAGCATGCTTGGCATTCAACATCAGAGCTCAAAGGTTATTCTTTGATGTTTCCTTATAGCTTTCATGCTGTTTCCTCCTGGATGTTTTCCAGTGTGCCTGCAATGGGTTTTCCAGTTTCCCCTCTTGCTTCTCAGCTACCCTCCTCTGGCAGCCTGATGGAGTTTATAAACACTGACCCTTCAAGATTATTTTATTTTATGTTGAGAGAACAAGGCCTGACACCCCCAAAAGTCACCAGGAACTAGTGACCCCCCCAAAGTCATCAGTCCCAGAAACTAGTCCATGGGTGGCCAATTCTAGAGTTCCCTATCCAAGGAACAGCCTGAGGATAGCCACAAGAATGGGAAGGTATCTTATCATAGGCTGGGGCATCTGTGCTGGGCAACCCACTGACCTCCACCTCGTAAGCATGGCATCCATAGCACATGAAATACCTAACATTCCTGAGGTCTAAAGATAGCTCACTCAGTGTTAGTTATGTCAGCCAATCACTTTGTAACAAGCTTGCCCTTGCTGAATGTCATCCAATCCTATGACTGCTAAGCTGGAAATTCCTGGTTCTTGCTCAAACCCCAATAAAACCCCCCCCGCTGTGCAGCTGCTGGGGCTCTCCTCTCTGATCCACTGCGTTGGTGAGAGACTGAGCTTAAGCCTGAGTAAAGCTCTTTGCTCTTGCATAGGTGGTCTGGCTCCTGGTGGTCTTTGGGGACTTTAAGATCTGGGCATAACAATACGTGTGAGCGTTTGGGCTGCATGTATGAATGTGCACACATGTGTGTCCAGTTCCCATGGAGTTCAGAAGAGGGCATCAGATACAACAGAACTAGACTTCTGGATAGAATTGGACTGCCTGTTGTGAGTGTCCATGTGGGTGCTGGGAATGGAACCCAGGTCCCCCTGTGTGAGCAGCAGGTGCTCTTGACCACTGAGCCTTCTCTCTAGTTCCAAATACTCACCCTTAAGTTCTAGCAGTCTGAAAACAATGACAAGAAATGCCAAGAGAGAGTGTTCCTCTGGCCAAATGATGCTTTCTGCCTTAGAGATCTACATGGGGCTCTTAGTACAGGTCCTGAGGGTTAGAAAGGACCGCAGAGCTGGGCAGTGATGATGCCAGTACTCTGGAAGCAGCACTGTGAGTTCAAGGCCAGCCTGGTCTACAGAGTCATTTCCAGGACAGCCAAGGCTACACAGAGAAACTATCTAAAAAAAAAAAAAAAAAGACTTCAGAAATGTTATACACATGAACATACACAGTTCATACAGTCAAATTCCCCCATCTTTTTCTCTATTCTATGTTGTGTAGGTTGGTCTCAACTCTTGAGCTCAACTTACTGTTTTGGTTTAGCTTCCCAAGCAAGTACTACAGTGACAGGCATGAGCACTAGCGCCTGGGTTTCGGTTCTGGTTTTCATGGCAGTTGCATAGTGTGAAGTCACTCTGAGCACTGGGATTAATGAATCACTGCTCCTAGAAGAAATACAGGGTTAGCTTTCTGGGAGTGTCAGGTCACAATTCTATCAACCAAACACCATGAAATATTCCTTGTTTTGTGTATAAAATTATTATTTACTGATTTGTTAATATCTAAACAAGACCAATAGCTCTATAACTCATGTCTGAAGTAAGGTGACCTAACATATATCTATTTTTCATTAGTTTTGTCACCAAGACTTCTTGCAGCTGGGGATGCTAGGAAGAGGGTCAGCTATATGTGTGGGCAATTGTAAAACAGCGAAACCCCCAACAAAAGCACAAGAATGCAAAAGTGCAAAAGGGGGGCAAGGTACTCTAAGGACCAGGTAAGACCTTGTGAGCCACTTGTTAACAGTACAAGAACTGGAGGAAGATGGGAGATTGTGCCCTGGTCCCACCTTAGCTGAGAGTATGGTTTTGAGAAACTTAAACTGTTATCACCCCAAGTGTTGAGTTTGGAGTTATAAATAAACATGAGCAGGCTAGCTGATAAATACAGACACTTCAAATAACAATCCACAGGTGATGGCTAAAAGAACTTCAGAATAGTTAAATTGAACAGTGTTTTATTTTATTTTTATTTTTTGAGACAGGGTCTCTCTACATAGCCGTGGCTGTCCTGGAACTGACTACAGAGACCACACTGACCTCAAACTCACAGAGATCTACCTGCCTTTGCTTCTCAAGTGCTGGGATCAAAGGTTTGTTCCACTACACAAGAAATTATTAATAAGCCAGGTGTATTCATAATCAAAAGAGGCTCAGAGAACTTAGCTTTCCAACATGGACAATATTTATAGACAGAACAATTGAAGGAAAGTACAGAAATAGTGTCAGGCAAGCAGTTGCTTTGTTTGGATGTGGTCTGAACAATTGGAAAATGCTTATGACAGACAACAATCTGGCTGTTACAAAAAATATACATAGTCATTGGGCAATGGTGGTGCATGTCTTTAATCCTAGCACTTGGGAGGCAGAGGCAGCTGGATCTCCGTGAGTTCAGGGCTAGCCTGGTCTACAGAGTGAGTTCCTGGACAGCCTGGACTACACAAAGAAACCTTGTCTCAGACTACACACACACACACACACACACACACACACACACACACACACTCATGTTAGTTTTTTGTTGTTTGTTTGTTTGTTTGTTTTGAGACAGGACTCTCACTTTACTACACTACCTTGGAACTTCCTATATAGACCAGGATGAACTTGAATTTGTTTCGAGGTATGTCCACCAGACACTGGACACTTTTAATGCCAAACAGAGAGTCGGTATTGGGGCCTGCAGCTGGGCAGGGGACTTGCCCAAATCACGAAGCCTGGATCCTCAAAGCTCTTTGTCCTTTATGCACAAAACTCGCATCCTGGTTGGCACACTTCAGTTAGCAAGAATAATTAATTAGCAAGAAGCAGAACTATGGATGCCAAAAAGCAAGGTTAGCACATTTAAGGACTTTTCTGGTTCCTAGAACTATGGACCAGGTCTTGATGGATTAGGTCTTTGTACCATTTTTGGCAGGTGTTGGGACCTATCTACTGCTGTGCCCAGAGACCGCCAGGAGCTGGACCACGTATGCAAGAGCAAAGAGCTTTATTTGGGCTTAAGCTCGGCCTCTCACCAACACAGTGGATCAGAGCAGACAGCCCTGAGCAGCTGCATGACAGGGTTTTTATTGAGGTTTGAGCAAGAACCGGGAATTCCCAGCTTAGCAGTTACAGGACTGGATGACTTTCAGCAAGGCCAATCTTGTTAAAGAGTGGTTGGCCAACTAACATAACTAACCTCAGGAATGTTAGGTCAGTGGGCTGCCCAGCACAGATGGGCACCCTGGGGTAAGATTCCCTTCCCATTCTTGTAGTTACCTCCAGGCTGTTCCTTGGGTAGGGAATTTTATGGTTTTATTCCTGGCACTGGTGACTTAGGGCCTAGTTCCTGGGACTGATGCTTTTTTTGGGGAGTACAGGTACACTAGGCCAGACTGCAAGATAGGAAGAACCTAGACTTGGCCAAGTGAGAGGAGGAGGACAGCGTGCAGGCGCCATCTAAGCTGAACGAGCCACCCAGAGGGGGTCAAGCCTGGTCCTCTCACTGCTATTTTTTAAAGGTCAGAATGGTACCTCTAACATGGCCTCGGTGGTGCTAATGTCTGGGGCTCTGCTAAAACTCCGCAGAGATCCACCTGCTTCTGCTTCCTGAGTGGATTACGGGAGCCCGCTGCGAGGCTGACATTTTTTGAGATTTTTGGGTTTTGCCCCTTCTCCCCCCCCCCCCCTTTTTTTTTTTTTTGCTATTGTTGCTATCAAGACAGGGTTTCTCTGTGTAGCCCTGCCTGTCCTGCCTCTAGAGTGAGGGGATTAAAGGTGTGAGCCACTAAGCCCTGCTCTGGCTTAATTTTTAAAAACCTCTTATCCACATGTAGAATTCTGACTTTTTTTAGTGTACATCGGTGCTTGAGCTCACGCACCGACTGTTGTTAACGTACAGAACGTTTCTGACACTCCAAAGAATCTCCTCAGGGTTCCGAGCTTCCTCTGTGACCAACCCTTTCATTTCAGGCCTCCTGTTGCTCACCGTGAACGGGTGAGACGGAGAAACCGAGGCCTAGATCTAGACCAGCCTGCGAAAGCGAACCGGGGCAACACCGGCGACCAGAGACAGGCCGCCAGGGCCTCCGCGCACGCGCAGACACTCCGCGCCGACTCCGCCCAGTCGCCTCGGCTCGGCCCCGCCCCTGATGCCGCGGCCACGCCCCCGACGCCCGGGGTGGGGAGACCCGGACTTGAAAGCGCCGGGTTTCTGAGCAGGCTTCGTTCGGTCCTCGGGAGACGGTGTCCGCCGCGATCGCGTCCGGGTCCGCCGCTGGAGCCATGCCTTCCGCCGCCTTGAAGTCTCCGCGCCTGCGCCGGGTGTTCGTAGTCGGCGTCGGCATGACCAAGGTAAACAGACCTGTGAGTCGCGGAGAGCTGCCCCTGGGATGCCCGGCAGCCCCGAGGGGACAAGGGCCGCGCGGCACGGTCGCGGCTCGGGCTGGGCTGGGCTGTAGGATGCTGTCCCTGAGAGGGAGACGTCCCCTCAGCCGTTTTTCTCTCGGCCTCCCGGTTTCCCTCTTCTCGCTCTTCCGCCTGTGAAGGAGCCCCCAACTTAACCCAGACCTCACATTGCCTTAGATTCTAAATCCAGACGCAGGCCGGCCGGGTGGCTCACGTCTGTAGTGGGAGCGTTGGGAGGCGCAGCCGGGAGAACTGCTCAGAACTGGCTGAGAACTCTCAGCCAGGAGAGTTTGAGGTCATGGAGGACTGTGTGGCAAGACCTTGTTTCACAAAGCAAAGCCAACCAAAAAACCGACGTGAAAACGTTTGGCGCTTGGACGGAGGCCTGGCTGTCCGACAGAAAGAGGAGAGCGCGGATGCAGCCAGCTCTGTGGTGGCTATAGTGCTCTTCCCAGATAACGGCAGGTGTGCCTGTGGGCAGAAACGCTTAACGCAGGTGCAGGCTCTCTTGATCCTCTGACCATGTTGCTGTTTCTCTGGGTCGAAGGCGACCAGATGCTTCCACAGCCTCATCCTCCAATACCCTGACTCCCCTCAGCGCCCTGGTACCTGTCGCTTCAGTCTTTACCCTTCAGCTGCTTTGCATCTAGTGGCGCTACTTGGCACCAGCTGACTTTCACTGGTTAAGTTATTGTCCAATTGAAGAGACAGTTCAGATCTTATCTTCTAAAAGCCTTTGATTGTCTTGGCTTTCTCACAGAGCCTTGAACTTAGCTCTGATTTACTTTGATGCGCTGAAATTCTTTGTTTAGATGTTCATATCTTCCTAATACATTGCTGCAGGGTCCAATATCCAAGTCCAGTATTCTTCACAGGTACCTCCATTTAAATGCGTGTCTATGTGTGCATTTACTGTGCGCCATGTTATATACATGGTATTTTTGTCTGATCTGTTGAGACGGGGTCACACACTATAGCCCTGTCTAGCATGGCGCTTACTGTGTTTCCCAGGCTCTCCTTGAACTTGTGGCAAACCTGAGTCAGCTTAGACGTCTCAAATTAAATGACTGAATTATATACACTATCTATCATTATCACAAATCCATAATAAAAAAGTGTCCAGTGGGTCATTTTTCTTGTCAAAACATTGTATTCAGGCCTTCTTTCACACAGCTGTATCTCTGCTCCAAAGGCATGCTAAGTGAAACCTAGTAGTTCAAGAGTGGGCCCAAGTCAGGGGGCCATTTGAACTGATGGGCCATAGACAGACATTGCTTATCTTCGAGCAGAATTGTGACCTCTTAGCAGAAGCTAATAATCGTGCGCTCTTTCATGGCTATATCTCCCTCGATGAAAGCTCCTTAGTGCCCAAAGACAATGAGTGTTAGTTGATCGATATATTAGAAGGATGTACTTTGTGAGCTCTGTGGAAAATTTTTTTTCTGTACAAAAACAAAAAAACAAAAAACAAACAAAAAAAAAAACAGCCTTAAATTTTATATTTTAGTAGCAGGCTAAGAGCATTTAATTCACTCAAAACAGGTAGCTATCTACCTGTTGATTAATTGATTAAAGTTGATTAATATGTTATAAAGCTTAGAGAACATCCCACCGTTTCTTGGAGGGGGACTTCTGATTCAGGTAGTACTGAAACTTTCAAAAGCACTTTCTAGATTAAAACAAACAAAAAAACAAACAAAGAGTATCTTCTGTGGACCTGGCTGTCTTTACACTTCTGATCCATCTGCTCAAATTTCCCCGTGTTGGAACTTCGGGTGTTCCCCCCGCCACAGCCTGCTAGGATGTTGTTCCATTTTAAACTGTCTTCCACTGGTTGTGTGGTGTCTGTTTATACAAGCTGTATACAAAAAGCATAGTTTCCAAAAAAAAAAAAAAAGGTATATTTAATTTTTTTTCCAGTCGGTAGGTTGAGGTGAAGGAGGCTTTAATATTCCTTAGGGAACAGGAAAGGAATTAAAAATGGTTTCATGATTTAAGCACATATTCAGTACATGTGCTATGTGTTATATGTGAGGGTGACAAACAAAAAAAAGAGAGAGAGAAAGATGACTCCCTTGGTAGACCACTTGGCAAACATGCACGAAGCCCTGGGTTCCAGCCCGGTCCTGGTCCTGCGTAAACCAGGCACGGTGCTGCACTCAGGGGATGGAGACAGGAGACTCAGAAGTTCAAGGTTAGCCTCAAGGTCAGCATAGCAAGTTCAAAGCCACCCTGGTTATGTAAGACCTTAACTTAACCAAAGACCAAGGGACAGCAAGATGGTCAGTGGGTAAAAGTGCATTCCATCAGGCTTGACAACAGGAGTTTGGCCCCTGGTTCTCACACAGTGCGAGAGTGTTCACTCTTTGAAGACCTCTGACCTCCTCGTGGATTGCAGCATGCCTGTGCCCCCTCCCCCCACATAAGCACATACACTTATACACTAACAAAGGTAGATTTTTATTTTATTACCTATCCATCCATCCATTCATCCATTCATCCATCTATCATCACTTACTGGTTTTGTTTTGTTTTGTTTTGTTTGAGACAAGGTTTCTCTGTGTAGCCTTGGCTGTCCTGGAACTCAGTCTGTAAACCAGGCTGGTCTGGAACGTATAAAGATTTGCCTGCTGAGTTCTGGGATTAAAGATAGATTTTTAAAAAACTCACATAAACAAAATAAATAAAATAAAATAAAATAAATAAATAAATAAATAAATAAATAAATGAAAAGAAAGGAAGAAAAGGGTAATTTGGAATTTTTAAGCATGAAAGATTGAAAACATGAACTTATTTTTATTTTCAAATATTATTAAAAGCAGTGTGGGACAATGTGCACTGGAGCAGAAAGTATAGGAGAAATACCAGAAGATATTTAGAAGATGAAAAGATATTTAGAAGATGAAGCCAGGTTTGCTGGTGTGCCCTTAGAATCCCAGCACTCTGCAGGTGCTGGTAGAATCTTCTCAAAACCAAAAAATAAAAAATAAAATAAAATAAAAATAATAAAATTAAAAAAAAAAAAAACAATTGCCACAAAAGAAGGAATTAATTGAAATTCTCCGTGTGGCGCTTCTTAACTTTGTTCTCAGAAAACATACCCAAACATACACCACCTTCCTGTCAAAGGCTGCGGTAAATATCTGAAATGTGACCAGGGAAAAGTCAGCTTGCTATGACATTGTGCTGTGCTGAAACTTAGTAGGTGATAAGCTTTGCTCACGATCAGAAAACTTCTTTTAAACTTAAAAAGCTAGTGTGTGTGTGTGTGTGTGTGTCTGTGGTGTACATGCAATAGTGAGTACGTTGAGCTCAGGTGACAGCTTTGTGGGTTGATGCTGGCCTTCCATCTTTTTGTGGGTTGTGGGAAACCCAGGTCACGAGACTCGTGTGGCACGTGCCCTTCCCTACTGCGCCACCTTGCCAGCCCTGTTCGAAGTTTTCACTATTTTAAAAACTGGTGTTGGTACTGGGGGTGAAGCCTGGTATCTTGGGCACGCCAGGAAGATGCTGTAACACTGAGACAGGGTCCTAACGTAGGAAGTTTGAAGCCAGCCTGAGCTACAGGAGAGCCCCAACCTCAGAAACAGCCCGACAGATGAACGAACCAAGAGATAAAACACTCGGAAATATGGAAGTTGAGTGGGAAGTATTAGTGTAAGTATGTGAGGTTTTTTTTTTTTTTTTTTTTACTCTTTTAAAATATTCCTAGCTTTGTTACAACGATGAGGTGTAGAAATAGTAACCAAATCAGTAATATTCTTGATATTAAGACTGAGGTCCTAAAATATCTTTATTTTTCCCAGAGAGAGGGTCTTATTTAATTCCATTAGTCCATTCAGGCCTCAAACTCACTATGAAGCTGAGGATGACTTTGAACTTGTAACCTTCCTGCCTCTACCTCCTGAATACCCAGATTACAGATGTGTGCTGTCGCGTGCTGTTCTTGTGCTCCTGGAGCTGGAGGCCGAGGCTTCGTGCATGTTAGCTACTCTATCCGTTTAGTTATACCTCCAGGCTCGCAGGCTCTCCAGCCCTAAAGAATCTTTTTCTGCACAGAGAACCGGTTGTGTTGGAGAAATTACAGAATCTAGGTGAGGTAAGAAATGATGAAGATGAGTCTGGAGAACTAGTTATAATTAATTGTGAAAAAATCAGAGCCCCTTTGGGTTATGTCAAGGTTCAGGGCCCAGCTTGACAAAGCTCTCAGTGACCAAAGAGGATAGTTTGAGTTGTGTGTGCACATGCGTGAGAGGCGAGAGGGCAACCTCAGGCATGCTCTTCTGTGGTCTGCCTTGTTTTGTTGAAGGTCTCTTTTTTGCCTCTGGCTCACAGAGTAGGCAGGCGGCTAACCAGTGAGCCCCTGTGACCTGTCTCTGCTCACCTAGGGCCGGGATCATAAAGGGACAACCACGCTGGGCTTTTTCACATGAGTTCTCAATGTTCTTAAGCTGGAAAAGCAGTTTACCAGCAAATCCACTCCCCCGCACGGCCATCTGACCTTTCAACACGGTCATAGCTGTAACTGGTTAAAGCCCACTACATGTGTCTAACATATGTGTTTATATCTGTAAAGCAAATCTTTGTAGGGCATTAGTGAACCTGATTTTTGTTGTGTGGCATTAGTGAACCTAAATTTTTTATTTTATTAAAATACCAAACAACTACTAGTTGTAGTCATTACCAATGAAAAAATTCAAGTTTCTAGGGGAAAAAAAAACTAGGAATCTAAGTTTTTGGAAACAGGGTCTCTGCACATAGCCCTGGCTGGCCTAGAACTGATTATATAGAGCAGGCTAGCTTTGAACTCACAGAGATCTGCTTGCCTCTGCTCCTGAGTGCTGGGGTTAAAGGTGTGCACCACCACACCTGGCTAGAATTAGTAGTTTTTAAATTTTATTTTACTTTGAGATGGGGTCTAATTTAGTCTAGGTTGGCCTCCAGCTTGCTATGTGGATGACCAGTTTTCTTTGAAGAGTTCATTGTTATGGTTTTAAATTCTGCATTACAACTGATCTTAAAATAATTTCTACCTGTTCAGTTTTACTTAGTATTTTAAAAAGAAATATCCATGGCAGGGGGTATGGCTCAGTGGCAGAATTACCACATATCAAAGCCCTGTTTTTGTTGTTATTTTTTGTTTTGTTTTTGAGACAGGGCCTTGGCTAGCCTTTGCTATATAGACCTGTCTGGCTTAGAACTCCCAGAGCTCTGCCTGTTGGCTGTGTTTTTCTTTTTTGTCTTGGGATGGTGGCATACATCCCAGGCTGATCCAGAATTTGGTGTGTAGCAAGCTTCTGCTGGGATTCATCTCCTTAGCCCAGTGCAGTGTTTTTGTTTGCTTGAATAACTGAATGAATTTCTGTGATATTGTTAAAAAAAAAAACCAAACCAAACCCTCTATACATGTTTCTTCTGTATTCTAGTTCATAAAACCTGGAGGTGAGAATTCAAGAGATTATCCTGATATGGCAAAGGAAGCAGGTAATAAGGAAAAGAATCATATTTTTGAACACTTATTGGCTTATTGTGTGGTCTGTGCTTATTCCGGGAATGGAGCAGCCTTGCAAGCAAAACAAGAGATAGTCATAGGGAAGAGGCAGGACCTGATACATCCTCCTTATGTCCCAGCTTTCAAAGCTCAAATTTTTGTTTCATACACAGAATAGTCCTAGCTTTTTTGAAATGGCGCATCTGTTTTTGTTTTGTTTTTGAGACGGGGTCTCTATTGTTGTAGCTCTGGCTATCCTGGAACCCACTATGTAAACCAGGCTGACCTTGAACTCACAGAGATCCACCTGCCTCTGACTCCCAAGTGCTGGGATTACAGGAGTGCACCAATGTCCCACATTGCCTGTCTCTAGCAATGACATTCTTTTTCATTTTGCTTTCCAAATGTGTGATGGAGCTGTAGAGATGAGAGAGACAAGGACTGTGATGTTAATGAGATTTAAGAGTTGTTTGTGGCAGCACACACGGATAATCCCACAATTTGAGAGGCCGGGCAGGATTGCCATGGGTTCAGTGCCAGCCTGGGCTACACAGTGATTTCATGCCAGCCCTACTCTGTCTAAAAAACTATGACTACAACAACTACCAACCCAGATAAAAAGCAAACAGAAAAGCAGCTTACAGGCTTTTTGGTTAGGCTACGGAGGATGCAGCTCAGTTGGTAGGCATTCAGATTCTGTGGTGCCCTGAGTTCAGCACCCCTGTACCCACAGAATGGGCATGGTGGTCTCCACCTGTGATGAAAAGGAGGATATGAAAAAGTGATGGAAAAGGAAGAGGGAGAGTCTGATCCAAGATGATTTAGTGGCTGCTTTGTCATTTAAACTAAGCAGATGATAAAGAAGTAAATGGAATGTGAGGAAATGCTAAATTGAATTTTCACTCACCCAAAGCCAATTTGTCAAGTGCTCTTTGATGAACTCTGTTTTGTCTTCACAGGCCAGAAGGCACTGGCAGATGCACAGATCCCTTACTCCGCAGTGGAGCAGGCATGCGTTGGCTATGTGTATGGTATGTCATAAACAGAATACCCCAACACTGTGCACACAACATCTGTCAGCAAATACATAAGCAGATGTTAACTCTCAGGGCAGGACCCAAAGGTCAGCTTTATGTGTGTTGGCTCAGTGTGATTGTTCTTGCCATTATGGTATTATCACACAGGAGACAAATTAAGATAACGTTTTTTGGGAGTTGGCAACATGGATCAGTTAGTAAAAGCCTTTTCATGGAACTTAAAAAATATTTCTTGCAGGGTGTGGTGGCACAATGGCTTTAATCCCAGCACTTGGGAGGCAGTGGTAGGCGATCTATGTGAGTTCCAGGCCAACCTGGTCTATCAAGCAAGTCCAGGACAGCCAGGGCTATTTCTCAAAGAAACCCTGTCTCGAAAAAAAAAAATAATTGTTTTCTTAGCTGAGCATAGTGTTCATGCCTTTAATCGCAGCACTCCGGAGGCAGAGGCAACCTGTGAGTTCATGTCCAGCCTGCTGTATATATTGAGTTCCAGGACAGCCAGAGCTATGTAGTAAGACTCTCTCTCTTGAAAGAATAAACAACCAATAGTAAATTTTTTTAGTTGGGTATGGTGTTTCATGCCTGTAATCCCAACACTTGGGAGACTGATGCAGGTGGATGTCTGTGAGTTCCAGGCTAGCCAGAGCTATATAGTGAGACCCTGTCTCAAAAAGCAGGAGGAGGAGGAAAGATGAGGAAGAGGAGGAAAAAGCTTATACCCTTTGACTTGTATCTCTCCTTTGCTCATACCCTACTCCCCTTTAAATACTGAGGATTGAACATAGGGCCTTGTACACTTTAGACAAGCCATTTCCTCAGCCCTCTGATACATTTTGGCCTTTATACTGTATTTTAGCATTGACAGCTACTAGCTTATTTGTTAGAGGTAACGATAGCCTGTTCTTGGATATTCAAAGTTGCTTATAATTTTATCTGTTAGGAAAATACTGCAATTATATAGTATTATATAATTTGTAATACTGTAGAAGAATCTTTGTGCATAGCCATCATTTGTTACCTTTACTTTTCAAGATAATAGGAGGGGCTGGAGAGATGGCTCAGTAGTTAAGAGCACTGTCTGCTCTTCCAAAGGACCTGGGTTCAATTCCCAGCACCCACATGACAGCTCACAACTGTGTATACTGTCAATTCCAAGGGATCTGACAGCTTTACACTAATACACATAAAATGAAAAAATAATATAATAAATTATTCTAAAAAAATAACAGGAGATTCCCAGCGTGTAGACTTATGAGGGCACGGTATGTAGAATGCAGGTACTGCCAGGAAGATTGGTGAGCCTTGCCAATTTTATAGAAGACTCCTTTTTATAGAAGTCCATACCCCTAGTTGCCATCATCTTACCAATCCAGCGTTCAAGTACCTCGTGGGCCATGGTACTTGAGAAGGAAGTCATCTTTGTACTCATTGTGGGCCACATTTTCCTTTAAGGCCTAGATATATCCAGAATCTTTAAAACTCAGTGAAAAAACTGAGACATGATCTCACGCAGCTCAGGCTGGCCTCTAATTCAAGGATAGTCTTGAACCTCTTTTCTGTTGCCTCTGCCTACTAAGCGATGGGATAATGGGGGTATACCACCACCCCTGATGTATGCAGTGCTGGGGATTGAACCCAGATCCTTTCAGTTCTGGACAAGCAGTCTCCTAACTGAACTACATCCTGAGCCTCAAAGCTTCCTGAAGCTTTTTTGGATGCGTCGTCATGGTTGTAGCTTCTAAGCTGTAGGCTTCACCAAGCCTGGCACTTTAGCCTCCTCAGTAGCCGAGACTTACAGTGTATGCTTCCGTAACTGGTTCAAATTGAGCAATGTTTATATGAAAAGTGAACAGAGGCCTTCAATCATTTTGTGATGATCTTTAACATGCATACATGTGAGAATCAAGCGTCCTTGAACCGCCATTTCCTTTATCACACGGCTCTGTGAAAGTGAGTTATGTGCTATTACCTGGCCATTTATTTCCTTTTCTACCTCTTTATCATGTAAAGAAAGTGGAAAGTGAGGGTTGTGGTCAGGGACACAGTATAGCAAGTGCCACCGTCCTGGCTGCGACAGGAGACAAGGGACATCAAATGCGCATGCTTTACTGCCCCATGTGATGTTCAGCTGGAATCGCAGCTCTCAGGAGGCTGAGGCAGGAGGACTGCTGTGAGTACCAGCTCTTCTGAGCTACATGAAACCCTGACTCAAAAAAGAAAAGGAAAGAAAGTTCATTAAACATTTGTTATGGCTGCTGTATGTTTTCACAATAGGAATGCTGTCGCTGTTTCTCATTCAGGGGTCATAGTGACAGGGACACACGCGGTGGGGCTGCACCGCAGCTCTCCATGTCCGTGCTGTGTGACAGCCCTCACCTGTTCCTCTGTAGGTGACTCCACCTGTGGGCAGAGGGCTATCTACCACAGTCTGGGAATGACTGGCATTCCTATAATTAACCTCAACAACAACTGCTCCACGGGCTCCACGGCGCTCTTCACGGCCCGACAGCTGGTTCAAGGAGGTAAGGAGGTTTGCCTACCCCTGCTTGTTAGTGTTTTATTGTTAGGACGTTTATGTAGAGGGGTGCTTTGCCTGTTCCTATTGTACAGCACAGAGGCCAGAAGAGGGCATCAGATCCGGAACTGGAGCTATAGATAGTTTTGACCTGCAATATGGGCGCTGGGAATTGAACCTGGGTCCTCTGGAAGTAAAACCAGTGTCCTTAACCACTGAGCTGTCTTTCCAGCCTTTTGTACTTGGTTATGGCTTTAATGTTCTTTTAAGAAACGTTAAAAATGTTTATTTGTTTGTGTGTGTGTCTCTGTCTGTGTTTGCACTCACCAAGGCACATACATTTAGGTCAGAGGAGACAACTTGTAGAAGTTGGTTTTCTTCTTCCACCATGTGGTTCCTGGGGACTGGACTCACGTTGTCAGGCTTGGTGGCAAGTACCTACTTGGGGAGCCTCCTTGCTGGTCCTTGTTCTTAAATAAATATGGGATTAATGTCCTTTTTAATCACTTCTCTGTGCTATCAGCCGAGAGAGATGGCCTTGTAACAGATTAACCATGTGAGGTATGCTTTAAAAAACAACCAGGAACCCTTTTCTTGCTTGTTTTTCTGGTACTGTCAGTGGGACCGCCGGCCCTGAGGACAGAGGTAAGCAGTGTCCCCCGGCCCCCCAAGGCTGCACTGAAATCAAGTTCCCATGCCATAAAGTTTATTCTCGTGAGGTACAGTCATAAAGGGCAGCCATGACCCTTGCGCACTGGAGAGCATTTTATCACCCCTAATGGAAGCCTTGTTCCAAGCGGCAGGATAGCTCCGGTGCCGTCAGTGCCTTCTCAGCCCGCCCTGTCCTCGCTACAGCCGCAAGCTTTCTTCTCCGAACTCACCTGTGCTTATCATGGCCTCAGGTGACGTGGCCCTTTGCCACTGCCTTCACTTATTTTTATCGCTTAAAACTTCATTCTTTTTTGTTTTGTCAAGACAGGGTTTCTCCATGTAGCGTTGGTTGTCCCGGAAGTCTCTCTGTAGACCAAGGCTGGCCTTGAACTCACAAAGCTCCACCTGCCTCTGCCTCCTGATGGCTGGCATTAAAGGCGTGTTCCACCACCTCCCAGCTAAAAGTTTATTCCTATAGCATATGCTAGCATTTTATTCCTGTTTATGGCCAAATAACACTCTACTTTATGGCTAAGCTGTAGTGTGCAGTGAGAATGTTGGTTTCTTTAAAGAGCCAGTTATATTAAGTGAGTATGTTTTTGTTTTAATCTCAGCTATGGGATATGGGTCTGCTTCAAAGCATTAACTATGATTGTCTCATGCCCTAGAAGGGGTGTGATTTTTGTCAGCTGAAGATAGTTTAATTCTTGGGACTCTGGAGAGGGTATAAATGGGAAAGCCCTGAGAAGGCCCTGAGGCTCTGAGGTCCTGCAGCTGCTGGTCCCTGCTGCTGTGTTTGCTGGATTGTTGGAGAGTCTGACCCCAAAGATTGGGCTTGCCCCTAGGACCTGACGCTCCAATCAGCAGGAAGTAGTCTAAAGCGGTTTCAGCTCCCTTTCCCTCTAATGTTCTTTCTCTCCTACCTAGTGTTTGGGTATTGGAAGAGATTAGATTGGAATAAGAGTTGGAAGGGTGATAGATACAAGAACCCAATAAAGTAGCCCCCAAAAGTACACCTACAATATTTTATCTGTATGTTTATCGTTTGGTGGCCAATGTTGTCTGTCTCTCTTTCTTTCTTTCTTTCTTTCTTTCTTTCTTTCTTTCTTTCTTTCTTTCTTTCTCTCTCTCTCTCTTTCTCCCTCCCTTCCTTCCTCCCTCCCTCCCTCCTCCTCCTCTTTCTTCTTTCTTTCTTCCTTCCTTCCTTCCTTCCTTCCTTCCTTCCTTCCTTCCTTC